TTTTCCCAGGTCGGAGAAACACCAAAGCTTGGAGCTCAATGCAATAAGACTTCTGTAGGGCAGTACTTAGCAACTTAGACAAAGCTAAAACTTTGAGGATAGGTTATACCTCAGAATATTGTGGTGGCCATAGAGAATTTCTATTCGTAAAGCATGTATTTATTTTTCTTAGAAAACCCTGCTTCAGGATACACCAAAGCATGGCTGGTGGCACTGCAGTATTAACTTTCCCTGAAAATTTTCTTATTATTACAAATTTGAAAGATTTTAAAAAGTCTTTAATATTTAAATACATATATTAGAATATATATTTTAGAATATAACAACAAAGTTCTTATTTACTTCAAAAAAATTCATGCCAAAATCCCCACCTAAGAGATAGGTGGTTCTAAATTTGTGATTGCATGAGCATAAAATTATCTATTTACTATCTTCTATATATAGAAATATAATATATATAATATGCATATACATTTGTATAAAATAGTATGAAATACTTGCATAATATATATATATATATATACACAAACATGCTATAAACAGAATATTTGAGGGCCAGTGTAGAATATCCTAATTATAATGCATCTTACATGTGAAAGTAACAGGAGGTAATTATTTTTACCCATTTTAACTGCAATATAGGCAATGGCCCTTTAGGTGTCTATTCTGTGGCTGCTATGAATGACCCTATATTCCGACATTCTTTAGAAATCAGCTTTGAATAAAGGCTGGTAAAGTACCTTTTGTTTAGACCATTGGAATAAAATATATCACATCATTGTCCAGCTGTGTCTACCTGTCAAATGAAATTTATTTGTTTGTCAAACAGCAAACAAAAAAGCCTACTCTCTCAGCATGTACCATCTTCCACTTCAGTTTGTTGAAAAGGGGCCCACGCTATAATAATGTGAGGCCTGGGATAAGCTGGTCAGTCTTGAGATCCCTTGAGATCCAGAAGGGAGGGTGCCCGTTCCGCGTGTTGTTTTTCAGGAGATGGCTGCAATCAGTCATCTCACATATGGTTTGAAAAAGGCTTGTCTCACTGGCAAGCAAACTGTTATTTAAGTACACAATCCACTCTACTACTGAAACAGTTTTGCCAAACTTATCCAAGTATTCTAACATGCTTAAAGATGGTATAAATATCATTTATTGCTAGCAGTTTTCTTCAGACTATATGGAATGTCTTCCTGCTGCCTGATCTAAGTGTCCCAGTTTATATTATGGCCTTTACTGCCTCTGTTTGATGGAGTGATCAGTAAAAATTTAATGACACTATAAAATAATAAAAATGTCATTAATTTACCACGGATCTCGGATGCAGTGGTTGTAAAGTTACATTAATAAACAGAATATTTTTTACAACAAAAAGCATTGTTATGGGGGAACGTATAAATAACATACATAAATTTAAGAGCAATTTTACTGTTAGCACACACATTATTATGGAATAGCCAATAAGTATATAAAACATAGTATATAAAATTTTATTAAAATATACTGTGTGCATCAAAAATTCAGCTTTTATCTAAGTGCAAAGAAAAGCCATTATTGTGTGCTTACTGTTTCATTGCTGTTCTTTCCCCATATCACAATTTTACATTTGTTGCCAGCAAGCGGAAGTTGCTTTTTTTTTCTACATGGAAACAAACCTCCATTCTTTTAGTTGCCCCCAAACGCATTCTCTCTCTCCACCGATGCAAAGATAAAATTGATCAATGTTGCTAGGAAGGGAAGAGTTGCTAATTTAATGCAAAGTTAAAAATAATGCCTGAAGAGTTGAATGGTTTGTTCAGTGACTCTGGAAATAAGGGATAATAATGCAGCAGTCTATCTGTCATCAGTGAGGCTGCCCCATCATTGACTCTGATAATATGTGAAGGTGATGGATGCCACCGCCTTGTGGCTTGTAACATTTAACATTCATCAGCTCTCACTAAAGGGGGCTTTATCATTTAAATATCTTTATTTAATATGCAGCATCTACCTCATACATCATAATTTCAAAGCACTTAGAGAACCAACAGTCCTACCACACAGCAGAACTGACTTTAATTTTTTTCAATAACTTTTATGTTGCCTGCATGTCTGTGACTGACAATGCGTAAGTAAGTGTTTGATTGCACCATTGCATATAAAATGCACGTTTCAGTATCAACATGAAAATTGGGGAATTTTCCTGGGGGGTTGAGGTTAAATTAGCATTGATGTATTTTGCTAATATCTCCAAAATATCTTACTTGGAAGCTATATACACATCGTGAGAACTAGTTCAAGTGTGTGGAAAAAAATTTGAAATTAAGAACTTGCCACCCACAGTCTCTGTTCCATGTAGGTGCATACCCATTAGTACTTAATGGCCAGTGGTTGAAGCCTCTTGGAACCTGAGTATCTTTGAACTTCTCTCTGTGCCGATGTCCACATTCTGTTTTACTCAGCTCATGTTCAACCTCACTGGTGAAAGCTTTGCTTAGCCCTGCTAACCAGAGCTAACTGGTAGACATCAGGCCCTCTTATCTTATGATTATGTGGCTGGCAAATAAATATTCTGAGCTGTTCTTTGAAGAAAAGAAGGAAATCTTCTGGGAGACGAGGTAGAAATTTACATGAAAGGGCATGGCTTTGCAGGGTCCTTCTTTAATCTCAAACACAAGTGCTTAATATCACCACATATAAAATGCAGCCCACTGCCCAAAACAATTTTTATCATTGATTTATTTTCTGCCTGTTTAACAAGTGTTCCATGGGATATTCTTCCTTGACTTCTACTCTGTCAAAATATTGATATTTTATAAGGCAAGTATCTCTGCAGAAGAATTTTTTTTCAATGAAGTCAGTCAGAAAAACGTATGACTTCAAAGACACTGTGAATGTGTTGTTGAATGTTCTGAATGCTTTTTTGTTATGATTAAAAACAACTGATAATGCTGAATTGTGAGTGCACTTCATTTTTTATAAAAGAAAAGATATTATCATCATGTAAGCTTTGTTGTCTTAGAATTTTACAAACCATGGCTTGTAATTTTCCCTCTTCTTCTTCCTTGTCAAAATATTGATATTCTTTCAGGAACTTTATATATTTTACTGAGAATATTTTCCAGTAAAATCAAAGAGAATGAATGACTAGAAAGATACGTGAAATATGCATATTGATAGGAAGCACGGTCTGTTGATTTTCAGAGAAAGTTGTTTCCTCCCCGCCCCCATGAAAATACAGTTAAAGGTTGTTCTTCCAAGAAGATTGCAGGTGTCACATCAAAACTCCTTTTGCATTTAGCATAGGGAAAGCATTCACATGCAAATATTTGAAATGTGAAACAATGTGATAAAACAAAGGTTGAATATTTTGCTTTCCCTAGTACTACTCATCTTCACTTTAATCCTTTTTCTTTATATCATGACAACCAAAAGTGCTACTCAAAAATAGAAATTGGCTGATTAAAAGCAGCTGCCCTTCCCTCCACCCCCGACAATGTGTGGAACTCCCACAGGGCTTGTGGTGGCTTTCTGTTATGGCCTGTGTCTGGGTCAATTTGTTCTTGTGCAGCAGTGTTTGCACATAAGAAGATATTGGGGAACCATACCTAATTTGCTTTTTATTTTCATTCTTTTTTTTATAAGTGTCATATTTCAGTGGTTTCCCCACTACTCCTATTGTAACTAGTTAGTATTAACCCAGTTGGGGAAATTCATGATTATAATTTTGTTGCAAATCTTTCATAGAAATGGTGCTAGATTAAAGCAAGGTTTGTGCTGTGTTTTCTTCCAACACAGATTTCAACATATTCCATGATGAAGGGGAACTGGAAGACTTCCTGCACAATTTGACTGATGGGAATTAATTATAGAAATATAATGATATTCAAAAATAATCATATTAGAAAGCACAAATGTAGTGAGACTGTACAAATGAGACACAGCCTCTATCAAGTAATTGTATGTTTGCTCTTTAAGAATATTTCCAAGTTTCTAAACATCTTACAGAAGAGACACTCAGAGTGTTTCCATCTAATGCCGAACATGCTCAGTACAGAACTAGGTCATTGAACAATAGACTGAACAGCAATCAGCACTCTACTGCTGCATAATGCATTAAGTATAACATGCAGAAACCATTCCCGGAGCTGGAGCTGCTATTTCATGTCTGTAAATTCAAGCTGACATGACATTTAATATTGTTTCATAGTAATGAACAACAAGGTTTCATTCATTCATAAGCACAACACAAAGCCAACCTTGAGCGTGGAGAGGAGCACAGAGGCGAGCAGGGGACACACATGCAGTTTCCGCAGATAAGAGCACCATGTTAATGATGGCCAGTGTCATCGTGACATTTCGGACTCCTGCTCCTAGAGGAATGGGTTAGCGAGTTAAAAATCTTTGTGTTTCCTTCCTATAGCAGCAGGAGAATTTAACTTCTCTGAGTCAATAGCTGGCTAGGAGTAATGTCCTTCTTTTCACTTCCCAGGAAGTTACGGTTGGAACTCCTAGTCAAAATAATAGCATCAATGCTATCGTCTATCTAGTTTGCTCTTTTTGAAATTTTTGTTTTTGAAACCCTCTTTCATAAAATTCTGGTTTGTATTTTCCCAGGAATAGCAATGCAAACTATGGTCTCTAAGTGAGAAAATTCCTTTCTCATTAAATAGCAGTATATTTTAATGAGAGCTGTTCTTTCAAGTTTTGCACTTTTGGCTCAGACCTCTCGATTGCATTCCTTTCAGGTTCCTGGAGCACATCCAACAGACAGAAGATGTGCAGTACAGACTTGGCAGGTTTCCTGTCACAGTTTCCCTTTCCTTACAGGTACCATGGTTTAGAAGCTGTTAGCACCAAAATCAGGCTTCAGAGGAATCTTCCTGAAAGATTTTCCTGAACCCAAGTTGGTTAAAAATGGTGTTTGTAAATCCAAGTGTCTCCCACTAAGCAAGACAAAAACTGGGAGGAAAAAGTGGCTGCTTCAGAAGCTAGGCTAATACTCTGATTATTCTTTCCTTTAGGAAAGAACGCGCTTTGAAAATCTGGGGCCCCAGTTAACAGGAAAGTCAAATGAAGATGGAAAGCTGGGCCCAGGTGTCATTGACCTTACTCGGCCAGAAGATGCAGAGGGTGAGTGGCTTTTCTGTAGCTCTTTGCTGCTGCTCTGGGCATGTCTGAAGATGCCTCTGTATTAGATGCAAGGTCTTAGTGGTATTTCTTGGGTGTATCAGCTCAGTTGTCTTGGCAAAGCTGAGGAAATGTTAGTGTTTATATTACAGTTGAGGACTTTGAGATGCAGTGTAGATCCTGTATTACAGAATACAGGACACTGACATAGCAATCCAAGTACTTCAAGGTGCCATTTTAAAGGTTTAAATAAAAGAACCCCTGCATTCCAAAGAACAACAGAATTCTGTGTTTCATCCACCTCCTTGCATTCTTGTTAAAAAAGTTCGAACGCACAAAGGAGGATTTTTTAACCCCAAGTCAAGTGATTCCCAGGTGCAATCAAACCATTTTGGGAACCAAATGATGATTTGCAACAGATCTAGCATAAAATTAATAATTGCTTGGACAAGGCCCAACCTGTGTCTGGGCACCAACCATTATTAAAGTCTTTTGCAAGTCTGGGTGGAAAGACCAGCTTCACTCACTGTATCTACCCTCTAGCACTGTTAATGCCTGTCGGCTCTGTTTCCTTTTTGTTTGTTTGTTTTAAATGCCCAAGGAGCATATCAGTAGAAATTGTTCCTCAGAGGCTGGGAACAATTTATGAGTTGGTCAGCACTTCAGTGGTAACGATGCCTCGTTATTTACTGTGTCATCACAGACTAGGGACTGATTTTCCCGTTAGCATTTCCTTTAGCAGAACCCCTCCTACCGGTCAGGGAAGATTGATTTGTTCTCTTCAGAGTAACATAATACTTCACTCATCTTGGGTCCCTCTAGAGTCCCTCTGTAGCGTCAGGGGAAGAATGTTACTATTACCCTTTTTACCAGCAGGATTTCTTCCAGGAGCCTAATCCCTGGAAAACACATGAGGACATTTCAGAGCAGCATCTGAGCTGGCCATGGCATAGCTTGTGGTGATCCCAGGCAGGTCAGACATCTCTGGCATGATCACTAAGTGAGGGGTCATATCAGACATTAGGAAGCACTTCAGAGACTTTCCAGAAGATGCTTTTTTTTCATACCAGTAGGAGAGACCAATGTTTAATGATAGTTCTGGAGATAAGGCAGTAAAATAAATTCTGATTGGCATGTGTTGGGGGAGGAGGTCACGTGGGGAGGGAAGGGAAGAGGAAAAGGAAGAGGCAGAGGAAGAAGAGGAGGAGGACAGGAGGGATAAAAAGGACTGGAAACCAGAAATATACTTGCTGTCTTCCACGAAGGTGCCAGGAACGCACTGATGCTGACATTTTCATAGGCACTAAGAAGTACAGGTTTTTCCCCTGGTAAAGATTAAGGTTCTCTGACCTAGGGAGAAGGTTATTCAGGCCTGGCCAATTTTAATGTTGTTGTAAGTATGGTACCTAAATCTGACAATACACAATGAAACAATATTTTTCATCACTTTGAAGGATTCAGTCTTCATTTTTCCACTGGCTGAGAGTTACAGAGTTTTATTGCCTTACACTTGTTCTAACAGGGTTTTCTTGATGTCATTCATCCTTCTTTAGTTGGTGTCTTGGCTGTGTAATGGGTATAAATACAGTCAGTTACCTCTCAGTAATGTTAATCTAGTTGATGACTTTATGTGCTTCTTAAGTTAAAAATCATGGTGAGAGTTCTTAACCATTATGAAAGGAAAAACTGTAAAACTTAACTGTAGAGAAATATATTGTATAGAAATATCTTGGGAAATTCCATTCAATACCCAGATTGTGGATTCAAACCAATTTGCTGGTTTCTCTTTTTTTTAACAAACATTTATCAAGCATTTATATGCCAGAGAAGGTGCTGAGCTTTCTGGACATCTATTATCATTGAAACCATATACAACTCTGTAAGCAAGGTGTTTTTTTTTTTTCTTTTTTACTGATGAGAAAATTAAGGCTAGGAGTAATTAACTTAACTTGCCACAGGTAAAGCCACCACTAGTAAGGGCAGAGCTGAGAGTTAATCCCAGGCAGCTTGGCTTCAGAACCCACACTCTTAAATTATGTGCAATACTGCACACCCTACGTGTGCAGATGAATATATGGTGCCTTCATTTTTCTGAACAAACTCCTTGTGACCTTCCTCAGTAGGGCCCATTTCCTTTCCCCTAAATATAGTAAGTCATGCCATACACCATGCTATGTCACACATAGCAGCAATGCCTGGTGAGTGTAATATTAGAAGGGCTGCAGTGGCTCAGGAGCTTAAGGAGCACGTGAAAACCTCCCCTCAGAAGCTTGCCCGGAGTCACCATTGAGACCTTGTGTGCTTTTGGGAGACTGAGTTCATGAATGGAATCAAGTTACCTGCTTTAATACCGACAGAAGCGCAGTGGCTTTGTGAGGACTGCTGGGATGGGTAGCAGCCTTCTGCTGACTTCAGGATATTTCCTGGCATCTGTTCAAGGGTGAGCTGATTGCAAAGCCTGCTGGAGTTATAGTTCATATTAAAGTCAAGAGTAGATAACAGGTACACATAATACTTTCTCCACTTCGCTCCTTCATATTTCCCTTAATAGGAAGAGTAAGAAGATAATGAAGTGAAAGAAGAACTAAAGAATTTATAAACTCTTTTTGTGGACCAAAAGGATCGAACATTTCTTGAGTGGCTACTGTGTGTCAGTCCATGAATTAGACACTGATTAGCCAAAAGAGATATTTTCCTGACCTCTTAGAGTTTAAAGTCTAGTGAGGAAAGACAGAAGATTAAAGGGGAATGCATACAGACAGACATAATTATCATTGAGAAAAGTACCCAAAAATCAACACTTCTTTGTGCCCCACAGAGACTCAGAGTATAAGCAACTTAGGTAAGCTCAATTGACAGGTGAATTCTGTGGCTCCAGCCAGGGATGTCAGCCCTTGGTCCATGCATAATCATCTCCATGTTGACTTTGGCTTTGAAACAGCAATTAAAATTTTTTTCCAGCTTTATTGAGATACGATTGGCATATAACATTGTGTACATTTAAGGGGTACCATGTGATGATTTGGTATATGTATGATTGGGAAGTAATTACCATAATAAGGTGAGTTAATATATCTATCAAATTTGTCACCTAACATAATTACTTTATGTGTGAGAGAGAGAGAGAAAACTTAAGATCTACTCTCTTAGCAACTTCAACTGTATAATTCAGGATTGTTAACTGCAGTCACTGTGCTGCACATTAGATCCCCACAGCTTATTTAGCTTATAAAGGAAGTTTGTACCTTTGACCAGTATTACTTATTGTCCCAACCCCTATCCCCTTGGCAATCATCATTCTACTCTCTTTTTCTATGAATTTGGCCTTTTTAGATTCCACGTATAAGAGAGACCATACAGTATTTGTCTTGATCTGACTTATTTCACTGAACATAATACCTTCAAGATCCATCCATGTTGTTGCAAATGGCAGGATTTCCTTTTTTATTATGGATGAGTGATATTTCACTGCATGTATATCACATTTTCTTTACCCATTCATCCATCAATGTACACTTAAGTTGTTTCCATGTCTTGGCTTTTGTGATAAGGTAGAACAGCAGTTTTAAGGGGCTGTGCCTTCCCTCCACTTCTACTCCATCTTCCTGCAGGGCTTCTGATGTGACTGAAGTCAGCAAGCCTAGGAGATGGGGCCCTATTCCAGCTGGGCTTCCCAGGAGAATATCTGCCAGTTGTGAAAATGCCAGTATCACTTTGTAAGCAACCTGTAGACCTGCTTCATAGCTCTGAGCATGGAAGCAGCAAGGGAAAGGTCACTCAAAGAGGCAGCTGTGCTTGTGTATTGACCACTCATCAAAATCAAATGATAAAACCATAAACCAGGAAAACAGAAATTAAAAATATAAAAGGCAAATGCCTTCAAAATTTTATTTTTAAAGTCCAGCTGTTATTTGGCTGGAATATGACAAGACAGCATTTCTTGTTCACCATGATATTTATAAAACTACACATTCATTGGTGCTGGGGGCTTAGGAACATATTTAAGGTCTTGTCATCCTTTGAAACACTGGAAGCCTTACTATGTATTGAGCACACACGATTTGTTAGCTCCTGTGTAGAATGTGCAAGGAAGAGAGGACTTGATTAGTTGAATCTGTCACCATGTATTAAGAATGACAAACAGCTGTTTAACATTTTATGGACTTTTCATATGGCATTTCCCCTCTCTTTGTTCTCCGTAGGTAAGAATGGAATTCTTATACCAACTCTCCTAAATTCAAGGTTGCAAAGTACAGGGGAAAGGCCTCTAGCCTGGTTATTGGGAAATTTGGATTAAAGTTCTTTTGCTAAATGATGGCAAACAAATAACTAATACCTCTGGGCTTAAGTTTCTTTATCTTTTAAAAGGAGTATATTGGAGTCCATTTTCTCTAACATCCGTTCCAAATGCAAGGTGCTTATTAGGATCTTCATAAAAGTGTGTTTCTTATAAGAAGGGTGATCTGTCCACAATAGCTTCCACTTAGTTCTTTTCAGAGAAAGGAAAAAAGAGACCATAATCTTCTAAAGCACATTTGTGCCACTTGCTGAATCAAGTTTTCAAGTCCCTTGATTTTCTCTGTTTATTAGTGAGCAGATCTCTCCAGCGGTGTTTCCCATTTACCATCCGCAGCTGGGCCCTCCTCTTTCTCTGCTCCTTCTTTTCCTCTGGCAGTAATAGTGGAGGCTGCCTTATTTTATTTATATTATTTCCGTCCTGTTTCTTCTCTCTCTTATACCTGGAGTCTCTAAAGGGATACTTTTTTTTTTTTCTGTTTTGCAGAATAGTTTGGGTAAGAAAACATTCTTCTAATACCTCTTTTAATTCTCAAACTGAATTACTGTGTCCTAGCCTCAAAGGGAGGCTACACCTCATTTTGATGTGGGAAAGAGTGGAATACGAGCTCTGAAAGGGACAAGCTCTGAAAGTGATTATCATTGATCAAACTTTTGGACGCTGGTTTGGAGATGTAATGATGTGCTGTTCTTCACGTATTAAAAAC